TAACGTTACATGCAAAGCCTTCACATCATACATTATGAGTTAGAATGAAATAGAAAGGAAGATACATCATCCAATTGGAGCACTTGAGTAACATCGTAATGAAATTAACTATACTCTGTCTTTTGATACAAATGTTCATTCATTAGGCCTGATTTGTACAATATGGATTTGGTGAATTTTAAGTTCAGTCCACCCAAGGACACTTTCAAAAGGAACACAGTGAATGGCTCCAAGTGTGAAATATATCATTTTCAAATCTTGCTAATGAAGATATGTTACATTCCTTTCAGCCAATATAAGTTTTAGAATTGTCATAGGTATGGAAAAAGAAATGAAAACTGATTTAATATGCTTCTGTGCAGCTACACCTTTCCCCTCAAATCATCTAAAGCAGTTTGGAATGCCACCTGAATATCTACAAAGCTGTGTTATATTCTCCCAATGTTCCCTCAGGTTGACCAATGGTAGTGTTTAAAAAAAAATAGTTCAAATGGTGCCTTCCCCACCACTTCTGTCACCACATTTGTTTTTCATCATGATAAAAAAAAAGAGCCCAATAGGGCTTGTGAATGGGGTGGGGCGTCAATCTGCTTTTTGGAGAGGATAAGGAAAGTCAGCAAGGTATGATAGTATCTTTTCTACGGGAGGGAATGGGGAGACCTAGGAGCTAAGAGATCTAGGTTGCAAAATGCAGATCCTGCAGATCTTACATCTCAAAATTTCCATAGCATTTCCTCTGGAACAAGAGCAAAATTGATCGTTGACTGGCTCAGCTTTGCAGGATCTACAGGTTTCAGAGCATTGTGAGATCACAGAGATGTGGAATGGATCATGAATCATTATGTTATCTCCATGTGCAAAGGGCCCTAGAAGGTCATTGTGAAGATAGCTGGGAAAACATAATATTATTCACATAATATTGTTCCTTTTTTTAGAAAATGATAGCATGTTTAGGAATAACATAGAATAAAAGAGGTGACAGTATTCAAAATTTCACTCTGCTGCTTGAAAGTTTGAAAGCACCCTCATTTAGGGGAAATACTCTTATTTCTTGTTTTTCTCCTTCCAGAACATGTTCTTTATCTTTGTAAAATTCTTATAATTCTTAAAATTCTATCATTCCTTATAATGATAGTTGCTTTCCTAAGGGAGGAAAAAAACCTGCACAAAGACAAACGTTATCAGATATTCAGAACTCTTGAATATCACATTATATCAATATAATCTATAATGTTTTTTCACTCAATTATTTTTAAAAAAAGATCAGAAGTTACTTTTCCAAATGAATTTTACAACCCGGTTGATAAAAGTTCAACATTTTCACCTTGTCAACATACATTTGTGTATGAAAATCGTTGCAGGGAAATGTATATTTTTGCCTCTTAGTCACTGGAGTATGTGTCAACATTTCCAAGATCATTAATCTGTACTTTCCTATTACCTGTACCCAGCTAGAGAAAATACCTGTCAAAGAAAGCTGCTAAACTGATAAATTTGCCACTTGTGGGTCAACAGGAAGTAGTGTGTGAGGATGATAATGCACCTGATCTGTCAAGTGTCAAGATGTCAGAAATCCACAGAAAAAGCACAATTGTAGATTGTTGCTATGTACAGTATGCAATTTGACACTATCTGCACTTGGCTGCCAAAAATAAAATAAACAAAAGACTTGATCATTCTGCTGATCAGTTGTCCCTCAAAAAGTGTTCTATGTTGCTTGAACAAATTCTCTCCTTTTTGTCTTCAAGTACCTAATATGTGTTTCGCCTTTTTTTCAAAAGCACAAATTCTAAGCAGTTTTAAATGCTACGTTTTTTGGTTTCAATTTATTAATCTATTGATATATCAATTCCAGCAAATAATAATTTACAATAGTGTACACAACTGCTGTATAAAATGCTAATCTCAACCATAACATTCTATTTAGTGAAAAAGAAATGTTTTAAATTTCCTGGTTGCAGGTCAGAGGCAGATTTGTGATAAACTTCTTAGAATCTGGCAAGAGTTTAGTTTATATTCTCTAAGTAATATCAATCTGTTGGGAAGAAAGTGCAGGGCACCCATGCTACATTTTCTTAAAGCATAAATTACTATACAGTACTTGGTTGGATTGCAAAATTATACTCTAGTTCTTTATACATGAATTACCCAAGAGGAGGCAATATTTCATGGAAAAATATTCAGATTAAAGCTCAACTCCTTGTGCATTCTACTCTAGTTGCTTTGCAACCAAAAGTACATTGCCCAAAAAAAAGAGGGTGAATGGGTGGGGTGAGAGGATAGTGCTGAGTTTGTACATGTGGCCTAGTGGTGAAGATGCTCGCCTCCCACTCAGAAGGTGGAACATTCAGTCCTAGTTAGTGGTAGATGTTTCTCTCCTAGGGCACGAAGGAAAAATATCTGCTGCAAACTCCACATAGGCATCAGGAAGGGCATCTAGCTAGTTAATGCTCAGTTCCATCCAGTCACCCTGACTCTGCCCCAAATAGAGACTGCAGGGTAATAAAAAGGTTTTTTTTAAAAAACAAATCCAAATTTATGTTATGATAAAAATCTGCCTGAAACATCAGCTATGTGAGAAAGAAGGCATGGCCTTTGGAACTAAGGTTTTCATCGCTACCATTTGCACTGCTGAAAAGCCCAATGGTTGCAATGGAAACCTCCATCAGTCTTTGGCATCCTGCACCTCTTGATTGCTAATAAACAGAATTTTCTTGGCAGATTACAGGCTGTGCAAAGCAGTCAGAGATTGTTGGTCATCTATCTATATAAATAAAAATGTAAATATTCGTTTGTTCAAAATCTTAAATCTCTGAAAGTTCTTCACCGATTGCTTTGAAATTTTGACACAACGTTGCATTCGAATACGTGCGTGTTTTTATATACCTACTATTATATAGATATCACACCTGTGACAGGTAAAACATGTTTTTTTTTGAAAAACCGCCATCTGTTGGACGTAAAAGCAACACACGTTACGATTTTACGATTCCATTTCAATGTTTCCGATTTACGATCCATTTACAATTTCCAAATTGCCATTTCAATTTAAGAGATTGCAATTCCCAATTCGATTGGCATTTGCAATCACCATCAACAAAGCTCAGGGCCAATCTTTAGAATTGTGCGGTTTAGATCTAGACATGGATTGCTTCTCACATGGACAATTATATGTTGCGTGTTCTAGAGTCGGCAAACCAGACAATCTCTATATCTGCACAGACAATGGAACAACAAAAAATATTGTATACCCACAAGCATTGTGAAATTAAACATATTACAAACGTGCGCTTTCTCTTTTCTTTCTTTTCCATTTAACCAGACTGAGCCACAGCAACGCATGGCTGGGTACAGCTAGTTAAAAATAATAATCTCGTGTTACTAGTTTTATATGCCTATTGTTTGTCGTTCAGCATATTGTGGTACATTTTTATTTAAAACAAAAACAAAAACTAAGAATTTGTATCAGTGTGAGGTGTGTCAGGCGTTTTAACTGTTTTACCTGTTATTGTATTTTATCAGGATAGCTCCAGGAATGAGCCTGTTTGACAACATTCCCTCCTCCTCGAAATGGCAAAAGACAGAACATTTCTGTTTATGTCAGACAGAGCCTGACTCAAACTTGCAACCTTTAAATTCTCTGCATACTTTTTGGAATTCTCCCCCACAATCTTTGGATTGCCACGATGAGAAAATTTATTACACTTCCATAATTCCATATCTAGATGTCACATCCGATTATGTCATTCACCTGAAAGCAGATCCTTTATTATATGACGAGCAAAGTGTTGCTAGTATCTCTAATAATTGGGAAGATCTCCAAAGAGAAAAAAGGCAAGGCTCTTTGGAATATTCACCTGTTTCCTCTTTCCAAAGTCCAACTGACTTGGAAAGTTTTTCATATTTTTTCCCAGAAGATTATTTTGAAGGGAAGTGGCCAAACATTCAGACTACGTGGCCAACTCCAAGTGGCCTGACCTCAGCTGAAGTCTTAACACATTGCAAGACATTGCTTGAAAATTCTGCCATTGGCTCAGCTTGCAAAAGGTTTCTTGGCACCCAACTCGACGTGGCCATTGAACTGTGTCTTTCAGATGTGCAGATTAAGGATGATCTCAAATGGGGAGAATTACTTATTCCATTTTTGGAAAATGTCTGTGAAAAAAAGGTCATTTTAGAAAATGTAACTGAATATGAGATACCTGCTATCCATCACAAAATTATCACAGCACTGAGATGTCCCAACCTCTGTAATGGCCATGGACAGTGCACTATAAGGGGCTGTCAATGTTTTGAAGGCTACACCTCCTATGACTGTAGAATTGCCAAAGGTAAGTAAAACATTCTATTTCCTCTTAATCATCTTATTTATTTCTTTACTATATTTATATGCCACCCATCTCGCAGTTCAAGGCAACTCTTATGAATAAATGGGATGAATATCTGCCGTAAACTGTTTGTTGTTCAAACAGTATCATTGGTTAAGATAAACTAATAAATAGCTTTTTACTTTGATAAGATTATTACAGTACCTGGTTGATTACTTTGTAGAAGTTTGGAGGGTTTGGGGCTAAGTTTTGCTTTCATTTGAACTAATTTGTAAAAAAAAAAAAAAAAGTGAAGTGGTTCCCTTAAACAAATTTGCTTTATGGAATTATGATTTAGCCTTGTCATCTACATGCCAATGGAAATAGAAGTCTGACAGAAATATTACGTTAATACAAGAAAGTTAAGAAGTAGTTTGTTTATACAATTTTTACAGACTGCCCATTACAGTAGTTTACAATTAACAGAAGAATTAAAACATAATTGAATCTACTTAACTCAGGTAATTTTTATACCATACCAGCTTACTGGAATAGTAAACTTTTTAAAACTTTCTTAAAGGTATAGAGGCTGGGGGCATTTCTAATATGATAGGGTATCCTAGAGGATGGGGGCCTTCAATGAGATGGTGAAATTCAGGAGATGACCAGGCTGAGCCCGAGGGAGGGGTCAAATGCATCATCAGTCATGAGTCCCTTCGTGCCCATAAGAGATCTAAGTCCAGCCCACCTTGAATTCATTTGACTCTCATCTACCTCCAATTTGCTCTGGCCGTTAGTAGTTCAGATTCTTGTAGAGAGCTTAAGCTTGCAATAAATCTTTATAACCATTTGAATTGCCTGAATCTTCTGATTTCCCTGGCATCTGACACCTTGTTCCTTAGTATCGTGGTAAATGGGAATGACCTTGGGAGAATGGGAATGACTTTGGGAGACAGAAGGAAGAGCTGCAGCCTAAACAACTACTATGCAGAGTATAGTATAGTATAGAGAAGGAAAAGGGGCATGGGAAGCACCTGAGAAAGCAACCTCCCTGGTTTTCTGGAAAATCAAATTAAAGGAGGGGAGAAGGGCTTTCAGACTTGCAAGATGCTGTTACTGTAACCATATAATAAAGGTAGTGCTANTTGGGAGACAGAAGGAAGAGCTGCAGCCTAAACAACTACTATGCAGAGTATAGTATAGTATAGAGAAGGAAAAGGGGCATGGGAAGCACCTGAGAAAGCAACCTCCCTGGTTTTCTGGAAAATCAAATTAAAGGAGGGGAGAAGGGCTTTCAGACTTGCAAGATGCTGTTACTGTAACCATATAATAAAGGTAGTGCTAGTTCATATGGTTTATGCTTCTTTCTTGGAGTATCTCAAAGGGCTGGCACTCAATCTCCCTCACCTTTCATGGAATAGAGGAGCTCTGAATACCTTCCCTTCTGACCACATGGGGAAGCCATATGTAGTGGGAAACTCAGTCCAAGACACAGAGGCAAATCATAAATGCCTTTAAGGCAATAACCAGTATCTTGAATCGGACCCAGGAACTAATCAGAAGGCAATGCAATGCCCTCAGCATTGATGTAGGACTGCTGAATAGGTGTAGACAACCAGAGAGATGACTTTGGAGAATCAGGTCTTCAGACACTTTTGTCAGGAGAAAATTTGGGGAGGGGCGGCAGCAGGGAGAAGGATTAATGGGCTGAAAAGTACAGATGGCACTTCAGAAAATAACTGAAAAATATTACATGTTAGTCTGTTCGGAGACTTTTAATTGGTCTCCTAACTAAAACATTGAGTCTAATCTTAAAATGAAGGAAAAAATAATAGCTTAGATAACAATTGAATGAATTTATATTTAAACTGTGACAAAATGACAAAGTAACTAAATTGATCACTGTCATCAATAGGGCTGTATGTAACTTTAATTGTATTAACTGTATTAAAGTATGTTATTGTACAATTATTTATTTGTATTCTTATTTATATTTAATTAATCTACCATTTTATAGTTCATTCACAACATTAATAGATGTTCTTTTAGAATGTCTGTAACTTATAGAAGTCATTTTAAACTTGTTCTGACCATGGAACCTGTTAGGTTTTTTTAATTTAAATTTTTAAAGTTTTATTTTTTAAAAAAAAAATCCCAATGAAGAGACAAAGTAGCAGTGATGGCAAATTGGGAGGAAAATAAAACTTGTGCTACTTGGAATTTATTTATGCAAATGTATATGTTAAACTTATTTGAATTTCACAAAAATGGATGTTCCAATTACAGCACTGGAATTTGTTTCCCTTTTTCTGTTTTCCCCTGCTTCAATATGGTATGCCGTTGGAACCAGTTTGTAGTCAATGTTCCATGTCTGAAAAAATGTTCACATACATAAATATTTATTAAATCTAATCAAAAAGCAAAATAAACACAATATGCATATGCTGAGAGATCTATATATATCCAGGATGGGCATGACAATTTTATATTGTGAAGTTGGAAAATTATGCGAGAAAGTCACAATATGAGATATCACTTAGAACAATCCCTTTCTTAGACATGTTGATGGACAGTTGCACACAGTGCTTTTTTTCTTTAAAAAAAAAAAAAAGGTGCCGGAACTCACACACGTCATACAACCTGCCTTGCCTACCCTACAAGGTCCCATCCCCAAAAGGTGCCAGAACTCCGTTCTGGGCATTCTATGAGAAAAAAAGCCCTGGTTGCACATAACATGACATACAGCATAACATAGACAGTAGTAATGGATTAACGTAGTCAAATTAAATTTGGATTTTTTTTCTCCATTATGACTGCCTGGCAGAGGCACGTATCTTCTCTTTGTTTATCTGCCTTTGCAAATCTGATTCTCTGAATATGAACATTGGTGGATATCCCACTCTGAAGGGATTTGAGGCATACATGTACAGCAGCCAAGCAATGCAATCTGACATTTCTTCATTAATTCCCACACAGATCAATGGGACTTAGTTCTAAGTAGGTGTGCAGAGGATGCTGCCGTGATTATTAAGCACATCTCCGGGGGACATGTACATGCCTACATTCAACTAATGTAGAAACTGAAAAGGGAGGAAGAGACACACTTTGATAGCTATTGCACAGTTAGAAATGTTTGTCAGAGCTTGAGGGCAAGCAAAGAGTCAGTTTTCGTGCATTTGCATGTGGCAAAGAAATGGCATGGACTGCTTGTGAAAGCTTGCTTGCTGCTTGCAAGTAAGAGAGGAAGAGTAGTTATCAAGTCAGAAGCAGATGGCTGAATGTATTTGAAGTTTTTTTTTCTTAGTTCCTCAGAATCCATTCAAATCTCTTAATCTATAGGACTCAATTT